TTTATACATAGACACAGGAAATAGCTTCGTGCGAGATTATCGACAGCGACAACTTCAAGTTGTTATCAATCAGACGCTGGCTCAAATTGGTTACAATTTAGTGGAATCTACCTCCAGTACAGTATACATTCGCGTTCAGCCCACTGACTTTAGTTCTCAGTCATAACAACTCACGAAACCACAAATAAAAACAATATAATTAAGCAAGAGATAGGAAAAGTAATCTAGATACGCTATAGTGAAATATGTATATATATAAATAATGTCTAGATAAGCCGTGCGATGAAGACGTGTTAAGAGAACTTCATATATCGCATACTGTTTTAAAAATGTTAACAAACTAATACAAAGGATAAATAGATGAATGAACAGTTCATACCATGGATAGTGATCCAAGTACGTTCAGGACCCCAAGCCCGCAGCCCCACGTGAAAGTTCTCCCATTCGTTCGGTTTTCCTGTCCGTACAGGGAACATTTCCCTGACGATGGCAGCCTCTGTGGCATCGTTTAGTATAAGCAGGTAACCTCCTTCGGCAGCACATATCTTGAACGCGTCGGTCCAAGTCCGATATTGGTCGTGTCTCTTATAACAGCTGCCAGTCTTATCGTAGAATTGATATGCTGGAAAGTAAAACAAACAAAACGTTGGACTCCATCCACTATTGCAATGTGTTAATGTCAGGTATATACCTAGTTACCATCATCAAATGTTCCACAAATGTTTATACTGAAACTTTCATGAGACATACTGAATTACTTATTATTTTTCCGACTTAGGTACTCACGTAATTGTTTGACGAGGAACTCGACTAGTTTCAAGCCATGCTAGAAGCTCATATTCATGAGCAGCATTCCGTGACCCGCGACGCGGTGACTGCTTGACTCATCGGCCCCACGCGCCTTCTACCGTGTTTCACGCGGACTTTCGTCTATCCGTGGTATCGGAGGCGGCAACTCGCGTTTCCATATTGTTCAAATTTCAAATCAATAGTCGCCTTATCATCTAGAGCCTCAACAGCAATTTATCTGTTTTTATAATAACTATTGTGAGACATACTAAATGAACTGAAATCGCGGGTTACTCACGTGAATATACTGAGAAAGGTTCTACCAATTTCGAACCACAGAGGGGTTCTTCCTCATGAGTAGCGTGCGCGGTCGCGGCGATGTCGCGCAGACTACTTCACGTCAGTATATTCACGTGAGTACCCCGCGATTTTAGTTAATTAAGCAATTAATCTGTACACTTTAATACTAAGTATAAAGAGCTAATATGCCTTGAGCAGGCGTGATGATTAATGCTCATTCTTTCACCGTGTGAGCAGACGCCATTGCTGAGCAGTGGGCACTTAATAGGCTGTAGATATGATGTGAAGTATACAGATATTAAGAAAAACTAATAACCCTTAACTACTTAGACGAACAATAAAAGATAATAACACCATTTTACTAACAGATTTAATTAAGTTAATCATATTTTGCCAGAAAGCGACAGCTGGTCGCACTCGCAGCGTAATGAGAAACAAATTCAACTTCATAAATTATGGTTTGTGTGTTTTCCTCGAATTAATCGTAAATCTAAACTCCTAAACCACACGTTACGATTAATTGTTGTTTCATCTTTTGTTTCGTGTTAACTTCGTGAATTACGGAATAAACAGATTAGACGGTAATCATGTGAACTTTCATCTAGATTGTTCTGTTTTCACGCTGAAGTAATGAGGTCGCCAATTCTTTCAGAAGTGCCATTGCGCTTATACTTTAGGTACGTGTCGAGGCGGCCTGGAGGTTTAAGACGGCCGCTTCTCATGCATGATTTCAATTAAATGATTAATATTTGCAACTGTATATATTTTATTTTATTATGTTTTTTTTTTCGGCCGTGGTGACCCGGAAGTTTAAGACGGCCGCTTCTCATGCATGAGGGTGCGAATTTGAAACCTAACAATGGCAAGTACCAATGTGACTTTTTCCGAGTTAAATGTACTATCTATGTTAGATTATTCAGACACCCCTGACAAACGGTGAAGGAAAGATCGTGAGGAAACCTAGGCTTATAATTTCAAATTATAAGTTTGAAATCGCCAACCCGCATTGAGCAAGCGTGGTAATTAATGTCCAAACCTTTTTCGGATGAGATGAAGCTTTGTTCAGCAGTAGACACTTAGAGGCTGTGTTGATGTGTTGTGATGTGATCGAACTTATTGTTCTGTGAATACCTGGATATATATATACGTATATTTGCCTATTTTAACTACTGTATAATTAACAGTCTGTATGTTAGTTTGTTTCTTTCTTATTCCTTCACGTCAAAACGCCTGAAGGAATCAAGATTAAATTTGGAACAGCGGTAGATTATGGTCTGGACCACCTAGATAGACCACTTTATATTCCACGGGAGCGCGGGCCAAGCCGCTGGCAGAAGCTGATAGTAAAGATAAATTAACTTGATTAATTCTTACCGACTCTATAACTCAAAAAGTACAAATTTCATTCGATTATAAAGTCAATCGCAGAAGTTTTACGTTTAAACTTCGATATTTAACAGAAAAGCGATAACATATAATCTTCTAAAGTTAAAATAACAGATCGGTTTCGTAATTTTACATGGGATAAGTTAGAACAGTTATCGAAAATGTGCCTATGTAAATACGTTCAGTAATTTTAATTTAAGGTGAGTACTGAACTTGGTTTATATCTACTGTGTCAGCGGAATGTTTGGATGTGTGTCTAGTTCGATAGCGGGTAAAACTAGTTGAAATAGTATAAGTACATTTTATATGTGGACTTCAGAAAACCAAAACCTAATAACAAACAAAATGTCAACTAAAAAGAATAAAATAAGTATAATTAGTACTGATAGGTTACCCACTCACTGAGGTTAGAAGTCGGTACAGTACCTCCTCCTTTTTTTGAAGTCGGTAATAAGCCATTGCCCCACACTAGGTTTTCTCCTATGTCGTGGGTGCTTTTACAAACATACAAGTTCACATACACATGACACCTAGACCCGGACTAACAATCTGTGTATGACACAAAGTGTTGTTCCGTGCGGGAATCGAACCCGCGAAACGGTACCTACACGACAGTATGTTACCCTGCCGCCGCGCCAACCGACGAGTTTCGTTTCGAGTGCAGTTGTATTTCGGTAATAATGTTTTTTTGCCTTTAGTACCTATAAAATTTTAAGTTTATAAAGATACATGAATTCCTTATTTGGTGAAACTTAGATTAATTTATTAATTCGAGCTTAGTGTTTCTGGCAATGGTTGAGGACGGCCCTAATATCAACTAACATTAGTTTTTTTATGTAAAACTAATGACTAAACTCAGATACTAAACCACTATTCTTAGTTCAACGCCCCATCATTTAAAGACCACCTACAGACAGACTCAATAACAAATCCATCCAAGATTACTTCACAAACAGAATCATTACAGACGAAGTACACTCGACAACTTCTCAAGCTACCCCTCACACCTTAATAAATTACAATTGAAGTATTAATTCAGGGAGTAATTTTGTTAATAATTTACACGCGTGCACACTCAAGTGATTACGTGGATACAATTATATCGGTGATTGCCTATTGGCTATTGATTTAATTACGTCATCGTCATATTACACGATTGCCTATTTATTGACACGATGATTGATTACGTTATGTTTAACGTCTTGTAAATAGGATTGAAGATACGCGGGTACATTCTAAAACTGTGACTTTCTAAACTGGTAACTTCTAAATTCCAGGGTAGAGAATATGGCCACCCCGTTCTTTTCCTTGAGTAGACCGTTTTCATTCAGATATGGATCTCCTCTGGCTGATTATCGTGATGATATTTAAATAAGTACATACTACATGTAAACGTTCTCTAGTTTGAGATTAATTTTACGAATTTTAAATTAATTTTATGGCCATTTCGTGATAAATAGTAGCTTAATTTGAACGAAAGGAACGAGGACGCCATAAATTCTACAAAGTCGTTATTAATTGCAATAATCTTTTGCAATTGCATTGCGTGGCACAGGATGAGTTCATTTTATTGAAATAAGATGTCTTTGATTTTTATTTTGATATTTTTTAGAACTGCTGTTAGAGTATAATATGTGATTTCCAGGCAATATTTCAGTGTTGTGCTTCAAATGATTTTGGATATAATTTTACCCTTAGTAACACTAAAGGTAAAATTAAGGGTAAGGGTAACCTTACCCTTAGTATTTAACATATTGTGCGATCAATAGAGGAACTATAATAGGCGTGTCGACAGGGTAAAAAAATCAAAAAGTAATTAGTCCGTCATTAAGATCGCACGAAAATATCAGACACGTATTTTTTGTTCTATCAAATTAACAGAAGAATACGTAGTTATTCCGCATTAAAG